GCCAGCAAGAAAAGCTCGAATCTACTGCTAACGTTTTTCACGTATATTTCCAATCTATTTCAGATGTCGCTTTACTAAGTGTATTCAACAGAATGATTCGCACATTTTTTGCCACGTTTTATACCACCAAATGACGCACTATTTAGCAGAATAAACAAAATCTCATCAATTTTTATTCACCATTCTATGATTGTCTCTGTATGAAAAACCTCTATGCATATAACTCATTTATGCATATGCGATTGCTCGAACACATATGAATATTTTATTAATTATCTTTTTTTGTCTTTAATTTAATTCTTTCATGTTTATTTCAAGTTTTTTTTTTCTTCTTTTAAATTATCGTTCGGTTTCGATATAAAGAAAGTAAATAACTCAATGATATCAACAGCTGCATGAATAAACTATGGATTCCCGTTCGTTGATTTATACAAACGAATGATGAGAAGAAAAACAACTAGGAGGAGATACAAGAAATTACTCTTTTTATTTAATCTATTTCTAGAGTCATTTTCTTTTCTATTCATCATCTGAAAAAAAAAACATGGGCTTCGGTGATCTTCAATCCGCTGATGGTCTTCGTTTACTCAATACCTTTCTTGTGGATAAATCATACATCGAAGGGTTTGTTTTATTTCTTAATATTCTAATATATTATTTCTTGTTTTGTTTTTTTGTAATAGATATCGTCCAACACAAGGTGATGTTGTTGTATTCGAAGCTGTAAAGAAAGCACCAGCAACTGAATTTGAAAATGCTCTTCGCTGGTACAATCATATTGCTTCATTTAGTGATGGAGAAAAAACAAAGTAGACCTTAGTTTTCTTTTTTTTTTCTATTCGATTGTAAAATATTAATATTTGAAATAGATTTCAAGGTAAACGTCAATCACTTGATCATTATGGACGACAACCTGGTCAAGATCGTCAAGAAAAACATGAATTTAAATCAGTTTCTGTTAATCCAGCTGAAAAATCAGCAGCAGCTGATGAAGATGATGATGTTGATTTATTTGGTGATGAAAATGAAGAAGAAAGTGAACAAACAAAACAACGTTTAGCTGCATATGCTGAAAAAAAAGCTAAAAGTAAATAAAGTTCATCATAGAAATATATAAATATTTTCTTATGTTTTTTAGAACCAACTATTGTTGCTAAAAGTACCATTGTTCTTGACGTATGGAAAACAAAAAAAAAAAAAATAGATAGAACTTTGTTTTTTTTTTTTGTTCTTTTAATTAGATCAAACCATGGGATGATGAAACAGATATGGAACAACTTGAACGTAGTGTTCGTTCAATTGAATTAGACGGACTTCTTTGGGGTGCTTGTAAGTTTGAAATAAATTTTTGTTTTAGAAATCTTTATAATAGAATTATTCATTTTTTAAGCTCGTCTCGTACCACTTGCTTATACAATTAAAAAATTACAAATATCTTGTGTTGTTGAAGATGATAAAGTAAAATATTTGAAATCATGTTTTTTTTTTTTAACTTAAAAATTATATTATAGGTTGGTACAGATATTCTTGAAGAACGTATTATGGAATTTGAAGATCTTGTTCAATCAGTTGATATTGCTTCATTTCAAAAGATTTAAAATTTTGTTTTCTTTTTTTTTTTTGTAACATCATTATGTTTTTTGTTTCTTCAATGTTGAAATGAACATCTACGTTATTATGATAAAATAAAATTGATTTCAAGAAAAAAAAGAAAGAATACAAATGAATACTACATGTGTTCATATTTTAGATGGCTGCTGCTATAGAGACAAAACTCTATGTAACTAATTTTCCGAGTTCAGCTACTCGACAACAATTACAACAATTTTTTTCACGATTTGGTCGTGTACAAGAATGTGCGAGTAAGTCAAAATGAATATCTTCAATGAGAGATTACTTTTCTTTGTAATGTTTATAACTTTTTAAGAGAAAATCGTAGAAAATGCGACGATCATTCAGAATTTTATACTCTTTAAGAAGAAACTTGTTTCGCATTGCCTTCTAGAATCTAAAGATGACTGTATTTTAGTTCATAAGAAATGAAATGTTTGTATTTGTTTTTTATTTAGTTATGTGGAATTCATATGCATTTGTCCATTATGCGACTATGGAAGAAGGTAAATTAATTTATTTAAAATAAAAAAAAAATTTTTTTTTTTTTAAATTAATTTAGCTCGTCGTGCCCTTGAACAATCGAATGGTGCCATGTTTCTTAATCGAAAATTAATTGTTCAATTATCTACATCTCGTTTTCGACCGCAACCAAAAGAATCTAATACTTCAATAGCTCAATTACCTAAAAAACTCATGATTATGAGTGCTCCATCATCATCATCATCTATTCCCTATCATAATCCTAATGGAGGATCAAATTCAATAAAACAACAGCAGTCAACTCCACTTACACAATCATATACTTATTCAGAATCGAATTATGATATGATGACAACAAATGATCTTGATCAACAGTCATCATCACCTATTATATCAGAGAATCAAAATTTATATCGTTCTCTCTCACCATTATCTCAGGATATGAATAATTATTATTCGCAATACTCAACTATACCTATTGAACGAATGACATCATCAACATCAATATTAAAAACTAATCATATTAAATCAAATAAAAATCTTAAAACAGGTAATTCTAATTGAATGGATTTATTTAACTTATCTAACGGTTCGATACCAGGGATGAGCAATCTTTTGGACACCTTTGCTAATAAATAATGGCAAAAAAAAAACATTTCGTTAAATTAAACTGAGGTATCATCCGTTATGAAAAAAACAAAAATATCTATTCTTATTTTTTTGTAAATAATTTTCGTTCATATGTTTACTTTATTTTTTTAGACATTGGTGTTAATGGTGAAATTCCAAAATTATATTGTACGAATTTACCAGATAATTGTAAAGCAAATGATTTACAACGTTTATTTTCATCATTTGGTCATGTTATTGATTGTGTTATTCTATGGGATTATTATGCATTTATTACATATAAAACATTTTTAGAAGCTGAACGAGCTTTAATAGGACTTAATGGATTTATATGGAAAGATCGACGTCTTATTGTTGAATGGTCACGTGCATCTGGACGACGACAACAACAAGTATTATCATCACCAACATCACAAAAACTTGGTTCATTTAATTGTATGTTAAATTTAAAAAAAAGACTATTTTACAAAAAAAAAAAATGTTTTGTTTAGCTGAAATTTCAACACCATCATCACCTCGTACTCGTCCAACAACATTATTAGCTCATCAATCAGTTTCTAATAATCAATTTTATGGAAATAATTCACCGAAAATACTTTCACCATTACTTCCATCACCGCTCAAAGCACAATCACCACATCATACATTTAATCAAAATCTTGTTCTAATGTCAATCATGCAACAACAACAACAACAACCATTTTTACATCATCATGCATCAAATCCATATAGTGGTACATATACAAATGGAAATAATAATGAAGTATTATCAAATGACAATCAACAAATATTTGATGAGTAAAAAAAAAAAAACATTTTTATTATTTAATTTAAAATCTATAAATAATACATTTAGTTTAACAAATTCATCATCAAATCATCAACTTGATTTATCACCATTTCTTGATACTAATTCTTCAAATTCAAATACATTATTTTCATCATCATCAGAATTAAATACACCATCATCAATAACATCTATAGCAAATGTTTATCAACCATCAGATATATCTACTTTACTTGAACCATTATTATCTGATATATCAATAGATAATAAAATAAATGAAAATATTAAAAATACTTTACCATTAACATTAAATAATGTTCCACCATCATGTTCATCAGCAGCAGCTGCTGGTGTTGCTGCTTTATTTCAAGAAAATTTACTTTCATCATTATTTAATTCATTTGAACCATTTAGTAAATTATATTCAAATGATGATCAATCAACAACAACAACAACAACATCATATTATAATCATTTTTCACCATTATTAACAACAGCACCAGACAATAGTCATTATCCAATGTCTTATGGTCATAATATTTCTTGGCATTAAATAAAACAGTTTTTTTTTTGTTTTGTTTATTGTAGTTCTGTTTTTCTTCGGTGTATGTGTTAATTCATGCAAAGCTATTTACACCCACGCGTGTCTTCTTCTTCTTTTTTTTTTGCTTTTTCTAGTCGCACTTGTCTTGTTGTCTGTCTTTGTCGGCCATATTTTTTTTTTGCGCGATGAATAGTAGTTTCGACATATACGTGTTTTTTTTTTTAGGAAAAACCAAACCAAATCATCTCTCTCTTTACTGTGTAGTTTAGTTTTCTATGTATGTTTGGTTTAAAAAACAAACAAAAAAAAATCTTCTTTTTTCTTCTTGCCTCAGGTTTTTGTTTAGAAGCAAAAAAAAAAACACAAGAAAGTACTCACCATGACTTTATTACTTCTCTCCCATGTCGATGTTTCCCATCCCGGTCTTTTGTTGTAATACATCTATTCGTTGTCTTTGTATTTCAAATAGGCACACACCCCCCTCATTTGTTTGAACAGTTTTTCTCATTCATTTACTCTCATGGTTTAGGTTGGGTGTTGCTTTTTTTTCATGAATGAATGAACTCTAGTTGTCTTTTTGCCTTCACTTCTGTTTTTTTATTATTATTATTACTACACAAGCATGTTTAAGATCCTACTTCGTTTTTTTTTCTTTGTTTTTTTTTCATCCTTTTTTTTTTTTTTTTTTTTTTTTTTTTTTTGCACTCTGTGGATTTCAACCAGAATTTATTGTGTTGAACATGTAAACCCTTGTACTTCAACAATGAAGACAATGCTAACGAAGAAGGAAAAAAAAACAAAAGAAAACTCAACTGACATGATGAAAATTTGTTTCTTTTTTTTCTTTTTGTTTTTGAATAAAAAAACTAACGAAATGAAATAAATAATGATTGTTCATTATTAATTGTAGTTTCAAAGAAAGATTTAAATAAAAATATATTCTAGATGAGTCGTTATTCAGGACCTCCTTCATCATCTCAAGGACAGCCATTGTCTTCGGTAGGTGTTTATCCACCATCGGGTATGCCAGGTCATATGCCAAGTCCACAAACTGTACCACCATATAATGTTGCTGTTGCTTCACCATCACAATATGTTCAACAAACAGGTCCTTCACCAAATCAAGTTCATTATGGTCATCCATCGGTAATGAAATTGTTTATTTTATTTTTTTTCTATAAAAGTTTAAGAGTATTTCCATTTTCTTCACTCAAAATGGTTTTTGTAATCATTGTATAGTTTCAAGTAATATCCATCACCTGAATACATGTTAGACATCAAAAAGTGCCTTGCAATCTTACAAGGTTCGAGACAAAATTACATTTACATAACGAAAATAGCAAAAATTGTACATTGCTTCTCGTATTTCTTCGGCGTAATACATTCAATTGAGTTAAAAATTTTTTTCATATATACTAGACACTATTTAGAATTTTTTTTTTTTTTGTATGTGTTAAAAAATATCGTCCTATTGATTTTTGATAGTTCTTAAAGAAAAAAAATCTATCGAAAAAAAAATACATGCCTTTTTAGGGTCTCTGCGATATTTTTACTTTTTCTTTTATTCAAAAAAACCAATAATTAAAAAAAAAAATACCCACTCCGAACAGTGTCTAGTTACTGTAAAAAAATTTTCAATTCGATCGAACGCACTGTCTTGAAGAAACAAAGGTGAAAGTTGAGATCATTTTTTCACCATTATGATCTCAATATCTCAAAGAAGACAGTATCAAGGAATTTCGAGTCTATGATCAACTTTTGCTATACTCATCAAGATCTACTTGCTCTAAAAACGTCAGAAACAGGAGAGTAATTTTAATTGAAATATTTCGTCATAATCTATAAAACGAAACATCAGGAAACAAAAGAGCAAATTAAATGGCATACGATCGATGGCCAACAAGATCTAATAGATCAAGTTGACATTACCTTTAAACTAAAAAAATCCTATTATTTTATTTATGGATATATAAAAATGTTTTCATGTCAATGTTTGTTTATTTCCCTATCTGTTTTTTTTTCTTTCGTTTCTTCTGAAAACAAACTTATCTTTATTATTATTATTTTTTTTTTTACAACGACTAGACAACTTCTATCATAAAAACGAAACTTTTTTTATTTAGCCTCAACAACCAATGATGACAGCTCCTGGTTATGGACAATCTATGATGCATGGTATTATGCCACCTCAAGCAGTCATACCACAACCTCAGCCACAACAACAACCTCAACCCCCACCACCTCAACAACAACAAACACAACCACAACATTCAGCTCAACAACAGGATGATTTAGCAATTAAAGTTAAACGATCATTTAGTAATTTTGATACTAGTCTTAAGGTAAATAATAAATCGAAATGTTTGTTTCCTATTTTTTTTGAAAAAAAAAAATTAATTTTTTAGACATTTCTACATGAATATTCATCTATATTACAAATGGATGATACACGATTAAAGTAATTCATATTAAAAGAAAATTGTTTATAAATTATTTTATGTTTTTTAGTTCACAAACACCTGATCTTCTTGCACAAACTTCTCAAAATCTTGTACGACGTTATGAAGCATTACTTGTTGCACTTGATTTATTTGAATCAAATATAGTTTGTTAAATAATTATTTTTCTTTTTTTCAATGAAATTTTCTTATTATATTTATATTTTTAGCGTATGTTACAAGATTATTCATCAACACAAAATAATTTTCGTCGTTTTATGCCATCAGCACAAATAGTTGCTGAATCAAGTTCACATTCTGGTCATCAACCAGTACAAATCTCACCACATATTGGTCGACCTGTTGATCCAGTACAATATCAATTTTTATTAAGTAAAATGCAAACACAAATTGAATCATTTAATGCATTACATGAATTAGGAAAAAAATTTCTTGAAACATCATCAACAAATATCAATAATACAAATGTATCAACTAAACAATAGACTTTATCTCTTTTTTTTTTTGTTCTTTCATTTTTTTTTTCTTCTCTCAATCTTTCTTTTTTTTTTTGTTTTATTGTACAAAATAAAAACAAAATATAAAGATAACAATACGAACAAAGAATTTCAAATCATGACTAATCAACATCGTAATTATGTTACAAATCTTTTCAATGTAAATTTAATTGATTATAATTCAACCAATATTTTGGATGATGAATTTAAAAATTCTATGGAAATTCTTATTGCCGAATGTATTGGTACAATAACAAAGAATTATTATGTATGATCATTTATCTATTTGTTTTACCTTTTTTGTATATAAATAAATCATTTCTATTTGTTTAGTTGGAATATCAACGATTGACTGCTTTTGCTTTTTATCCACCTTTGAATCAAAAACAAATTTGTGAACTTGCGATTGAGAATGTTACTTCAAATGATGTACAAAATCGAATAAATGAAAAAGTTTATAAACAATTAGAATCAATGTTTCAAAATAAAATAGTTAAATGGAACTCAATAGATCAAACAATAGCAAAAAGATTTGTTAAAAATTCTGTTCAACAAACTGTTAAAACAATGCGTGAAAAATTATTACAATGTATTGATCATGAAAATTTTATATGGAATATTATTATTCAACGTTTTATATTGAGTAATAATCGATTAAAAATCATCTGAACTTTTCTGAACATGATTTTCAAAGAAATAAAATTGTTAATTTAATATTTTGATATAAATCTTTCCAGAAAATCCATTTGCAAATCAGAGATATTAAAAGTTAGTTCATTACCGAATAATCCTTATTTACTTAGAATATAATATGTATGGGCGATTTTTATCATCGTTATCTATATAGTCGAAATGAGAATGTTTACGATCGTATAAATGAGTCGATTATTTTATTACTCAGACAAAGACAATATAATCTTCAATGTCACCTTATTAAAAACAAACATTTTTCTTTAAGAGTACCTCTCGTCTTTTACAGAATTTCTGAAGAATGAGTTTATCAGAAAAATTTGAAATTTTTAGGACAGATAGATCATGACGAATACAGTACAAGTTCTTATAAACTCGAAGTTTTCGGATGCTATCTTCTATGAGATACTGGCGAAAATAATCTCAATTTTTCTCTTTGATTTTCCAAGATGCTACGTTCGATCGAACTGAAAATTTTTTTTAATAAATACTAGACATTTTGACGTGGATATTTTTTTCTTTGTCCTTCGAATAAATAAGCGAAAATACTCTAAAAAAACGCATGTTTGTCTTAGATAGATACTACTTGAAATTATATAATCTCTATAAAAAAAAATCAAAAATTTTGAATGATTAAAGTAGGCAAGTATCATGAAGGATAAATCCATGTAAGTCTAATCATTCTTGAATCATATTGTGATTAAGTGAATAAAAGAAAATAAAACGTCTTTTTTGTTATCGGCTAAAGGGATATTATGAGTGTTTGTTCTTTAAATTTCGAAAAGAATAACAAATCGTCATATTCTCAGCAGAAATTATGAAAATTTTTTATGCATTCTATTCATTACTTATACCCAATAACAATAATTAACCTGTTTAGTTAATAGACAACAAATATTTTGTTTGTCAGTAAAAGAAGAAACAAAACTTATTCGTTTTTCATTTTTTTGTCAATAAAATTTTTCTTGTAAATCAACGAAATACAAAACACAGAAAGAAACAAATGTAATCTATGTGAAAAAATTGCTTTCTATACACTTATTTACACACTTTTTACATGGACATTGAAAGCAATAATCATCTATTTCAATATTATTTAAACTTAATACTCTCTTAGTATAATACTTTGATCAATCATCCAGTTAAAGATCTAATAAATTTCAAAATATAGCACTAAGACATTGCACTAGACGATAAAAATATTAAATTTCACAGTTGAATAACTAGCGCCGTCTATTTTCTCTATTATCTTATTGGAGTATTTCTAACATTTAAAACAGAATACAATGCAATAGGTACTTATATATCTGAATCATATAAGTGATTTAACTTGTCTCTTTCTCTTTTATATATATGTTTTGTTCATTTATATCTGCATATCTATTCTTCTTTGTTTAAAATATTTTTGTCAATAAGATTGTTTGTTATTGTTTAAACATAAATCATTTATTTACTTTGTTTTTTTCTTTTAGAATTTCAAATTTTTATTTGTCATTGATATTTCATAAGATTTCAAGAAAAAAAAAAATTCCCACATGACATATGTAGGATTAAGCAATTTTCGTATACGTGCAATAATGAAAAACATTTTTATTATTACATAATAGACATATATTTTTTATTATATTCTTTATCAATAAGTTCAAAAACGTGCTTTATATAAGAAAAAAAATGAATAAAATAATTTTTACTATGAATATATTCATTGTTTGTTGGTTATAAAATTCAATATGTAAGTTAATTGAACAATAGAATGAAAGAAGAAATACGAATAATCTTACATGAGAAGCAAAAGTCGATCGAAATGTTTAATGTATACACAAGATGAACTTTATATATGGATTTATCTTCTTTTTTTTTTTAACGGACGCATGTACTTATTTTGTCTGATGAGGGAAACATTAAAAAAAAAGAAGATATAGAATTTTTTTGACTTCTATTTGTAGATCATTTATATTTTATTTTATTTTTTTGTTGTTGTAAATGGAGTCCATCAATCCTCATGTACCATCTGTAGCATTATTTGTCACGGTAAAGTTTATATTATGATCGAAAATAAATAAATAAATATTTATTTTAGCGATCGGAAATTGATTTTTCTCATCGTTCATCAAGTCCAATATGTCAACGATGGTTTATGGTTTTATATCTTAAATCAGAAGCGAAAGAACTTGCATTAACAGTATGTTATTTTTTTTTTCTTTAACAAAAAAAAAGAAGTTTAATAAAAACAAAAAATATTGGAATATCATTTTTTTGTTTTTAAGGTCTATCCAGTAAATATGAAAAATCCGGAACAAGAATTTAAAAAAGCCTATAATTCAAATCCACCTGTTGTTGTATTTGATGAAACAAATGATAAAATATCACAAGTTGTTTTAACTGATAATCGTGATATTGATGCTGAAATAAGTAAACGTTTTCCTGTTAAAAATATGAGTTCATTAAAAGAAGCTGAAGATGTTTGTTCAAATGTTTATATTAAATTTCATCCATATTTAAAATCACCAGCTGGTGATCCACAAGAACAAATTAAATTACGTTCATTATTAAGTGAATTAAAACGTATAAATGATTATATTGAAGAAATGGGTACTAAATTTTTATCGGGAAATGAAATGACATTTGTTGATTGTGATATTATGCCTAAATTACAACATATACGTATTGCAGGAAAATATTATAAAAATTTAAATATACCAAATGAATTTCATGCTTTATGGTCATATATGGAACGTTGTTATCAAACAAAAGCATTTCAAGAATCATGTCCATTTGATCAAGATATATTAATGCATTATGAAGGTAAAATTTCTGGAAATATTAAACCATTTGGTAAAACACCAACATTACAACAACCAACAATGACATTAACAATACCAGAACGTGACACACAGTGAATGAAAATCAAATCGATATTAAAATGACATTCTCTTTCGTTTTTTTTCTTTTTGTGTGTGTGTGTGTATAATTTTGGTTTATCATCAATCTCATTCTTTTTTTTTGTCTTTTGCGCTATTGTTAGGTTTTTTTTTTTTTATATCTTGAAAAACGTTGAATGATTGATATATGATGAAATTATCTCAAAACTGATCAAATAAAAACGTTTGATCTTTTCGTTCTTTTTCGTTATTTTATATATATTTAGATTTTAGATCAAAATTATAAAAAAAAAAATATAAACAAAATATCATGGAAGAAGCACAAGAAAAAGATATGGTATTTATTCGAATTTTAATCTTTATCAAATTCTTTTGTTTGATTAATTTTTCAATTTCTCATATGTCAATAGTATTGATCGATGAAAAAAAAATTGTTTGATTTATACTATGAAAAGATAAAGATATGCGAAGTGAAACTTTTTGTCACATGGATAAAATTTTTGCAAGACTATTTTGTACAATATATTTGAGTATCATTAATTAATTTTATAGAAATTATGAAAAAATATTGTAAAAATGATTTATAGATCTATAAAACCCAAGAAGGTTATTAGCGATTATCTTAGGTCATGGATACTAATGTTCGGTTTTCGTCACTGTCCAGCAGGAACAAAACAAAAGATCGTGAGAAATAGTTTAACATCAGCAGTTGGAATATGGCGCGAGTATCCTCGGTTGGTCACACGCTGTTGTGACCAGTCATTGAATCAGAATGTCAGATTCTGAAGTTTCGGCTATTTTTTGTATGAAAATTGTCTCAGATACTGCCAACGAAATATAAATTCTATGTGAAATACCGTATATTTGGTATATCTTTTTATCTTGCTGACATAATCTAAGAGAAGTTCTTGCAAAACTTCTTTGGATATATTTGTAAAAAAAACTTTTGTTAACTTTGTGTCCATTTTTTTAAATCAACTACAGTATTTCCTTATTATTTTTTTTTCACGCTCATATATTGTACAGGTAAAACATTGTCCTGAAATAAATCATCAAATGTTTTCGACTTCATTAGAATTGACATTTTCTCATTTTCTACTTTTGGATGTTCTGTAACTTCATATTCGAATCAACAATAGGTTTTTACGGGATTCAACAAACGCTAAAATAGTTCGCACTCGCTTATTTCGAAACCTACCTTTATCACTGACCTAATTTCTGATCACAGAAACAAAAGATTATACTCATATTTTCGAAAATTCAGAATCTGCTCATTGCTAAACTGAGAGTTAACGATATCTGAAAGTTGAGTATATTCCAAGAGGGAAAATATCGAAAATGCTGTACTTTCAGACTATATCATAACTGTGCATCAAATCTGTATAGCTATTTCAAGTCTCCTATCGACCTGTGTTACGGTATATTAGCTGGAGTCCAGCCGGCATAAGTCTATCTGGCAATAAAACCCAAATACTTCACCATACTCCCACTTTGGAAGTACAATGAAGTATTTGGGCTTTAGGGTGAGGGTGAAAGCACAGTTATGACATAGTCTAGAAGTGCAACATTTTCGCTTTTTTTCCCCTTGATATATTTTCTCATTAGGCTTTCTGAAAATATAATTTCGGACTTCAATACATCGTTACTTTTGATTAAGGATGACATGCTATTTAATATATATATAAAAGCTTGTCAGCGCAGCTCCTTTGGAGCTGAAATGTGGAACTCACGTATATCCTTTCAATTTGCTATTCTACTGCATTATTTGTAAACTAAAACATACTATTTTTTCAAATAATTATGAATGCATTAGAATACTGTATAGAATCTGAAGCCTTTTGTGCGCGGTTGTTGACGTCTGTAATGGGGGGTGCCTGT